CCCAGTCACTCCATACGGCAAGGCTGTTGCGCGCCGTACGCAACAACAACAGCAACAGCGCAACATGCAGAGGCGGTTGTTCGCTGGAAAGAAAAAAAACCTCTATAGCGCGCTCATGCATGCAACAGCTGTGTGTGAGAGTTTTAGTGGCGGAAAGATTTCAAAATTGAAGCGTCTTATTGACTGTCTCAAACTTGCCACTTTATGTTTCAAGCAAATTTAGGTGTGTCAAAGAGGTCCGGAGATCTCTCTCTGCGGCGTGGGCTCTTGTTTGTCTTCCCCCTTGGCTTACTTTTCTTTTTTATTTACTTCTTTAATCCGTCCCACGGCGTTGCAAGAATCTTTTTCAACGGGAACAGCAACAACAACTTGCTCTAAAGGAAACGACTACAGCAACTTTGATTTCCCCCTCAAACTTTTGACGGGGTGCTACACTCTGTTGTGTTTACGCTGTTTGAGGGGCCAGTGCGCAGCGCTGCCGCCGCTCGGCCGGGCTCCACGGGCCCAGCGGAGCAGCGGAGCTCCCAGGCTCCAACACGCGGATTGTAGCCCACTTGCCTGGGGCATATTTAGACTGGCGGGCGGCGGGGCGCGGCGGGGCGGCGTGAGGGATCCTGGTGTAATTAAATAATAAGACCCTGCCGGAACCCTGGGAGGGAGAGAAAAAAAAAGGACATCCTTTGCGGCATACGCAGTAAGCCAGCTGGGGGACGGGAGGTCGGGGTTGGGACGGGGGAGAGGTGAGGGGGGTGGGAGAGCACGGCCCGACGGTGCCATGCCGAGCAGGTCTTTATTCCATACCTCCAAGGTGCGGGACATGCCGCTTCTCGCTTCTTGGCTTGGCACTCCCTCGACTATGCTTGTTACCCTCCCCCTTCCCCCTTCCCTCAGCCACAACAACGTCATATTCAGGGGAAGAAAAGAATTCTGCCCGGTGAGGGGCTATGGAACCAACAAGAGAGACACCCTCCAACGCCTTTCCCAACCTCTCCTCTTGTATGGTTCGTACGGTGCACACCACTGCAAATGTGAACAGTACTGGGAAAAGCTTAAGCACTGTCATTCAAACCGAGGGAAAAGTAACTCCAACGCTAAGTGAGCACCCGCAATCCTGTCCAATTCAAACCAATTAAAAAGTAATTCAATTAATTCAATTCAAATCAATACTAGTCAGCCAATCCAAGTCAAATCACACTTATTCAGTGAAATAAAATTACAATAATGCAAACTAATCAAAAACAATTCATACAATCAACTTCAATTCAAGCCAATTCAACTTCAATTCAAGACAATTCAATTTCAGTTCACGAAGTTTGCACACCTCGGCACACCTAGATCAGGAGTTTACACCTCGATTCTTTTGTAACTTCGGAGCATTTACTTTGCAAATAGAACGTGATGCTATTGATGCTATGCAGCATGTAATAGCATTTCTGGCATCGCTTCGTATTGCTAAGCATCGCTTTGTAATTGCAAAGTAAATGCTTCGTATAGTTACAAATGACCAGAATCCTTCGCAATTATGCGTAGCTGGACTTAAACAGTGTATCTAATTAATCCATGGGCTTCTTTACAAGTCAATAAATAAGGTATGAACAATACATGATATTTTATTAGCAGTTACTACGTTTTAGGTATGATCTTAAGATCAGCTGAGAAACATGCGTGCAGATTTTCGGCCTTGCCAACCGTGGCTCTGAGTCTGAAGCGTCCATAAGGTAAAATAGGTAGGTTTGGAAATACCCAATCAATGGGGTTGTTTTTGACTGTGTAAACTCCCTGTAAATTGAAGTGCACTGATTATGATCACAGCTTTAATACATTTTAATCTAGCTACATGTACGCTAGACCACG